TTGGGTCCTGGAAGTCCTCTCAGCTGCAGCCGCTAGTTGCTGATCCCGGGTCTGCGCTGGCTGGTTCTTGGCGTTGGGAGGGGTGCGGTGGAGGCGGTTGGGTGGCGGCATCTCCTGGCTGGCCCTTGTGACGGGCATATATATCTCGATTTGGGTTCCATACGCTCCTCGATGTCACGCAGGCCTTTGGGCCCCGCCAAGCGGATAGTGACCCTCCAGCTGCTGCGGCGCATCCTGGTGTTTGCGCCGCCAGCGACCCGTAACCTTAGAAAGCAGGCCCGGGTCCTCCAGCCATCAGGTCTCCAGACTGTAGTCTAACTAACCCTCTGTTAGCGTACTTATAAATCCTGTTTGGTTTTGTAAGTACAGCCTAAGAACACGAGTAATTTGAAGCAGTTTCATGCTTTGCAAAGAGATAAAGATTTATGCAGGCTGAAAAGTAGCTATTCGGTCAAATGCTTATTGACTACTTCAGCAAAGACTGACACGAAGTTGGATGGGTAGCGAGTTCTAGTTCAGTCTTGCTTACAGCAGTTTTATGTTTCAATTATTTTTGAATCTGGAAAATAAGTATTTTAAATGACAGTGGAAAAGAAAGGACTTTTAAAATTCCTTCGTGTATAAGTGTAGCATTTTATTGTAAAGACTTCTACACAGATTAAGAGTAGAGAGTATTTCCATTGTGTGAAATGTCAAAGATGAGCCATATGTTTGGTAAGTACTGCCTTTTCTGTGTATTGTGTTAAGTTTTTGCTTGAAAACTTTTATTGTTAGTCGAAAAAGAGAAGACAGATGGAAAGATGCTGACATGTACTATGTAAGCTGTGTTAAAAAATGAATGTTCTGTGTAGTATTATCCCATTTTTGAGTTATACATACATATATATACACATATAGTGTTATACATATATATGTGTGTGTGTGTGTGTGTGTGTACACTCTAACAGGAAAAGTCTAGAAATATATACACCAAATTGTTAACAGTGTTTAAGAAATAATTTATTTTCTAATTTTCCTGCAGGAAAATCATTTTTAAGAAGTGAAAGAGGAGTGAATGATAAATTGCATGTGATTCATAATCTACCTCATGTAGAGGAGGACTAGTGAGCAAATGTTTAGATAAGGTCCCTGAATAATAAGCCAAACTTCTTCGCTAGGGTAGTTACGCATGTAAAAGGCACATAAGAAATGATGCTGAAATGAACTGTGGTTAGCATTTTTGGTCTTAGTGGGCATTCTATCATCATGCTGAAAGGAGGTCTCATGGTGGCTCAGGACCGTAGTCTTGGAAGACATCAAGGTCTATTGGCATAACATAGTCCACAAAAACAATGTTCTACACGCTGCTTTGGTGAGTAGCAGCTGGGATCTTAAAAGATTGCAAGCAGCCATCTAAGGTGCAATTATTGGTCTTTCCTTATCCGAAACAAAGAGTGAAGAAAATCAAAGACTTGTGGAAACAATTAGTCCAAAGGACTAATGGGCCACGTGAACCTCAGCCTCCATGACCCTGAGGCCAGAAGAACTAGATGGTGCCCAGCTACCACTGCTGACTGCTCTGAAAGGGATAATAGTAGGAGGTCCTAGATAGAGTGGGAGAAAAATGTGGAATAATAAGATCAGGCTTCTTGGTCTGATAGAGACTGGTGGAACCACCAAGACGGTGGCTCTTAGTCACCCTTCAGGCCTGGAACTGAACACATCCTGTGGCTCAACTTTCAGCCACCTAATAGGCCTGTAACACCAGGGAAGGGTATATACCCCTTTGAACAATTAACGTTAAGAGATCAAAATCATCTGCCCAGTATAAAACTTAGAAGGCAGGAAGAGATAGGAAAGAAAGGTGATGAAAATGATCAATGCAGGGAGCAACTGGGAAAAGTACTGTTGCATTGTAGGGATTGCAATCATAGTCACAAAACAAAATGTATATAAATTGCAAATGGAAAACCAATTTTTTCTGTAAACTTTCATCCAAATCATAATGAAAAGTTAAAAAAAAAAAAGGAAGAAAGGTGGTCTCATAAGTATTTGGATGTTATTCAGCCCTAAAGTAGAAGTCATATCCTTCCTGACTAAGGTGATCCTATTCCTCTTACTTGATAGCTGAATCCAGGCCAGTTTGCAACATTAATTGTAATGTCATGCTTGATTTCCTTTAATTATTTTTTTATTCTTCAAGTTCTGAAGAACTTGAAACATATTCAGAAATAGCAAGTAGCTACCTTCATGTGTAATTCTGGAAATGTAGAAAAGAAGTATTAGGAATAAGTCTTGAAATTTTAGTTTATTACATAAAGATGAAAACTGCTTTTCTTTTTTTTGAACATGCTTGTTTGAGAATGTTACTTAATAAATTTTTAATACAAACTTATACTCCTATTTTGGTGTCAAGATGGAGTAGAAAGTAAATTTATTGCTCTGTGTGTTAAGTAGGGCTTTGTATATATTGACGTCATTTCTATAAGTCTCATGGATGTCCATTTTTTTGGATGAGTCTCTCTCCCCCATGACAGATTGGCATCTGAATAAGAACTGGAATCAAGATGTAACTTGCTGGTGACAGCAATTAACAGTAAAGAATTACTCACATACGGTTGTTCAGAAGTCATGCATTTTCATCTCTGGTTCTGCCCTAAGATCTTAATTGACTTTCACTGACTATTTTCTCATCAGTAAAAACAGGATAGGTTTGATAATAGCCCCTCTATCTACCTTAGGATTGTTGTGAAGGTCAAATAGGGTAGGAGTCAGGAAAGTGCTCAATAAACTAAAAAAGCACATTCTTATTACCATATGATCATAGCCTTGCAGTGCTGGTATATCCACAACTTGGTAAAGCAGCAAAATAGTATGTGTATCACACCTGTAGCTTCCAGCCAAGCAGTAAACAGGCATACTAGTTGAGCATTTACCTGAGGTAGATACACTCCTTGGAGAGAATAAGCAAGAGAGAGAGAAGGGCTGCTCAGGCACAGGGAGAACGGGGTAGGAGTACGTGGAGGGATGGACACAGGGAAGCAGTACCTACTGGGAGAAAGTGGGAGAGGAGATGTTGCATTGTGCTAAATTGGGGTCAATGTCAGGAGACAAAGTGTATGTGATCTGCTGTATGGAAAGTGTATTTGCTCTGTAAATTTTCACCCAAATCACAATAAAAATAAAAATTTAAAAAATTTAAAAAAATAGTATGTGTATCTTAAGTTCTTTAACACTAGAAATGAAATGGTCTTAGAAATGATGCCAAGTTCTTCTTGCCATGTAAATGTCATTGATAAGAAAAGCAATATATAAGACAGATGGAGAAAATTTCAGATTTATTTCTTTTCCCGGTATTCCTACGTGGCCACTGCCACAGTGGAAAAAGAAAGAAGTAGTCCTGATCTGACAGTAATCTACTTACTTGGATTGGGGTGATCACTTTGTCTCACCGTTTTTTCTAATACTGAAATAAAGGGATTGAAAGCATAGGCTTTAAAATCAGACCTGTGTTCAAATTCCAACCTTACCACCTATTGACTGTCCAACCTTGAGCTAATATTTAACTTTACTATGTCTCAGCTTCCTTATTAATAGCTAGTGCTCAATGATAACTATTTTGCAAGAGTGTTATGGATTATGCATATCATAGGATTAAATGAGATAATGTTGACAGCCTAGTACACAATTGGTGCTCAACAAATGACCAATATTATTTTACTTCTATTTAAGGGTCTTAACAGTTTAAAGTCTGACTCTGTGATTCAGTGACTAAAAATGTTTGCTTTCATTATGGCTGAGTAAATATTTAATACAGACTTATATTCCTATTTTGGTGTCAAGATGGAGTAGAAGTAAATTTATTACAAGGCAATGTGAAACATTTACATATACATACATTTATGAAAAATAGTTTTTAGCACTTAGTACAGTTTATTCAAAAGAACATTACGCTTAATTAATTTTGCATAACTTTCTAGTTCATAAAAATCTGGCACCATTGTGTTCTTGGCGTTTGACTGCTAACTACAAGGCTGGCGGTTCAAACCCATCAGACCATCCTCAGAAGGAAGGTTGGGCAATCTACTTCAATAGTGATACCGCCTCAGAAACCCAAGGAGGGGTTGCTATGAGTCAGATTCGACTCCACGGCAGTGGTTCGTTCATTTCATTGGTTTCCTTATGTTCTTAAATCACAGAAATTAGCTACTTTTTTTTTTTTAATGAGCTACATGTTTGTTTATATGACTTCTGTCATGTTTTACCGGCAAGTATTTTTTTTTACCATCTGTGGAAATGTCCCTATAATTCATTTTTCTTCGCTCCATTATTAAGAATTATAATACCAAGTAAGTGGAATGTGGTGAAACTAATTAGTTAATTTCATGACAGTTCATGTGAATTTAATTGTGCACTAGTTGCCACTCCTGTTCTGTTTTCAGTAAAATGTTGAATGTGACCTCATAAATAAGAGCATGATTTTTTTTCTTGAAAATTACTTATATTCTGAGCTTCTATGTGACCAGTACTTTTTCTGGAAAATGGAAGATCAGTACAATATTATTTTTGATAATATATTTTTAAGGGAATATATCAGCTTTAGCTTGACGCCTGTATTGAAATACTCCTAATTTTAGGAAATGTGCCTGTTGAACTCTTAAAATGGTGCTATAGGGACAATATATATTTAATTTAATCAAAAATGACTTACGCATAAGGTTTATTGTAATTATTCAGCCCTTACAATTGCATCGTTATTTAGAAAAGAGAAATCACTGTCTTGCCTTTAGACTTGATTGAAAAAATAGATCCAAGATGTGAAGAGAGACATTGTTCAACATTTCTCTTTTGAAATTACCACATGGTATATCATATATTTCATGTAGTGCATACATTTCTTGTTACTACTGAATTCTTAGGTTAGAAAGAATGTTATAACAATGTTAGGAATTATTACTTGTGGGGGAAAAAAAAGAATTATTACTTTTGATATATTTGTTAATTTTTTTTTTTAGATTGATAAAGATATGAATGAATATCCAAAAAAAAGGAAAAGGAAGACTTTACACCCTTCTCGTTATTCAGGTCAGTATATAATTGAATTATTTTAAAGTTGAGTCACAGATTAATTCTATTTTTTGTGAAATTGTCTTCCCATACATTTTCCATAAAGGATCAGATAAGAGTTAACTATCTGTAATTTTAGGTTAGAGAAAACTTTAAATAAATCATCTGTGTATATATTCTTCATTGTCTGCCATATGCCTAAACACATCAGAACTTTACAGATGTTTAATCTTCACACCTCCGTGGATTATAAATATTTAGATGTCTAAGATTACATACTTATGTGTCATGATTGGATTTCCTTGTCTAACTCCCAAGCTTAAGGCACAATAACCTATGTAGAAGATATTTTGTATCATTGGGGGGGGGGATCTTTATTCTGTAGATTATTTTCAGAAATGAGAACTTTTATTTTGATTGTGTAATTTTAGACCATTTGATTAAGTTGATTCTGCTGTCTTGGCAATGAGGTCTTTGCAACCATGTCAAACTAATACATATCATCTATTTGGTACAGTCTCTCGCATACCCTATTAGCCTACCCAAACTACATGTTTTTTGTATCTAAGGAAGTTAAGCCTGGTCTACTGCTTACTGCCCCCTCCCTGGCAAAACTTGAAATAACTATATTCAGCAGCCCTAACTGATCCTCAGGCCATTTCCCCGACATATTAGGCTGCTTCTGCATTATATAGCCGGTCTTCTTGGTAGTTAATTCAGTGTTTTTAACTGAACATTTATCAGTTAATCGTGTAACTACCACAACTTGTATCATATGATTTGTGGGACTTTTGCCTGTAAGGCAAATAGAACTTAGTGTGTTTCAAATTAATTGTGTTTTAAAGTGTATAATTTGTGGTTCTTTCAAAGCTCAGTGTCAGTATCAGATCTGAAATATAAATGCTTTTAAATTGAGGAAAATATTAATGTTTTTATCACAGATACTATAATTAAAATTATGAAAATTTATATACGTTGGATAAAGGGATGTTTGTCATTAAATGTATAATCTTGCAGTGCTTGAATTATTTTTTTTAATTTTTTATGTTCAGATTCCTCTGGAATAAGCAGAATTGCAGATGGATTCAGTGGAATTTTTTCTGATCATTGTTATAGTGTCTGTTCTGTGAGACAACCAGATATAAAATATTTTGACAACAAAGGTATATCTTGTATTTCAAAATATTTTCTTAATGTCACTTTTATATATTTTTGTTTCTTCCATATTTGAAAATGTGGGTCATAGTGATGCTTTCCAAAAGAGTTTGAATTTGTTATAATTTAAGAAAACAAGGTTTTTTTTTTTTTTTTAATAGCAGTTAAGTGAATTTTAATTTCTTAAATTATTTCAGACATATAGATAAAAAGCTCACTCACAAAAATCCATTTATGTTGGCTAGGAGTTGGTGGCAAAGCAGTAGTGACCCAGAGCTGGAGACCATTCATGATGAAAAGGTTAAGAATAGAATTATGCGTGGTCTTCACACTCAGCCATACCACTCAGTCTAGGGAGCTAATGAAAGGAAAGAACAGAGAGGTTGAAGGATTTGGTCATTTCTGACCAATTCTTGACTCTCTTTTCTAGGGTATTTGATGAATGATAAGAACAACTTATATTTGTTTTCTTTTTCCTTTGGAACCACTGAAGCTCCCAGTTCACTTAGGCTCTTATTACAGGCACAGAAACATAAAACACTAGAATCAGAGACAGACATCAATATGAGCTTATCTTTAGTTCATAATAGATACAGATTCTGAAAGGACATGGGGGCAGTGTCCTCTGACCTCCTGCAACTTCACAAGGGGGAGAGAGAAGCACCATCAGCAATAGCCCAAAGCTGATTCCCGGAAGGCAGAAGTCATACATGACTCCACCCTCCAATCTTTTTGCCAATTCTGACACCACCCATTCCTCCACAGCACTCACTACTTCTCTGCTGGGTTCAATAATTCATTGCAGTGGCCACACAGGACTCACAGACAGTACTCATGATTATGAGGTTTATTAGGGGGGTAACAGGTGACAATTCAGGTTCATGAATGCTCAGGATGCAATTCTTTGATCAGGACAGCGTCCCCTTTCCTTTGCCTGCAAGTATGCCTCTTTTCAGTGCTTGGACTCAGCCTGGCCTCTACCCAGCTTGGGCAAGTGTTCCATAGCTTTTTTCAACTCTGCCAATGGGTGCACCTCCCTCCACCAAAAAGGCTCTTGGCCAAAGGCACTCGGCTTTCTCACTGAATGGGCTGGCTGCTATTCTGTTTCATCCCAGTCTCCCAGTTCTGCTGCTGCTTTTTCTCTGCCAGCCTCTCTGCCATTGTCTCTGCCCAGGGATTTCAGGTCCAAGAACACTCTCCACTCCTGGCTATTCTCTATCTTGTTGGTAGTGAGATTCCCCTTTCTGTCTCTGTCAGGGCTCATTTTAAGCCTAGTGGAATGACAAAACTGACCAATCCCTACGTTAGGATTCCATATACTTTATTTGCACAGTTTCACCTCTACAAGGGCACCATGTACCTTATTTACTTTACTGACAAGCTATCCGATCCCCTTGGTGGGCCACAAAGCAGCTCATATTTGCATATTTCTACCATATTATCTGGTGGGGGTCACAAAGATCATGGCTAGAAGAGCCATACCAAGTAATGTACTATACTGCATATAGATATATTCATATATATATATATATATATATATATACACACACACACACACACACACACACACAAGTTAGGGTATACACATATTTTTCCTGTATCAGCTAAGAAGGCCTAAAAGAAGTGATAACCCAGTAACAGTAAGCACAACTAATGTCCAGATTTTGGGTTTTAACACCATTTTCCAGTAAAAGAATCCTTTTTTTTTTCAGTTGTTCTTCAGAGAGTTGGCTGATTCTAGAACTGGGGCAGGAAATAAACAAGATGAAATAAACAAGAAATTAAAAATACGCTTATTTACATAAAGCATTATGTAGTGCCAGAAAGTAAGGATATGCTCAGAACAAAACCCATTGATTAGGGGTATGTCAAAGCACAGGAGCCAAAGGAAAGCTCTCACAATAGCCAAAGTTGGAACAGTTTGAACAAGAACAACAAAAAAAGTATTAAATTATAACCTAAAGTATAAAATGGTGAGGGAAAAAATAAATTTCTTGTGCAGAAGAATTCCAAATTATTTATGTAGATACTCTAGCCTCAAGGAGGTGAAACATAGAACTCCCACTACTTAAGTGTGGCTATACATAGTGATTTCCTTCCAAAGCATAGAGTATAAAAAGGACAAAGGGTGATCTTACAGAGAAGAAACCTGACAGACAATACATTGGTCAGGTGATCATGGTTAACATCAATAGTCATAAATCATGGTGGTAGTATGAACCCTTAACATGATATGGTTTTTTTAAAAAAATGGCACTTTTACCACTGTGGTCTACATTCCAGTAACCCATAACTCCAGTCTTACCATGAGAAAAACATGAGGCACATCCCGTTAGTAAAACATCCTACAAAATACCTGAGCAGTACTACTGAAAACTGTCAGGGTCATCAAAAACAAGGAAACTGAAAAATTTAAAAACAACCAAATGTCATATGTTATCCTGGGTGAGATCCTGAAATAGAAAAAGGACATTAGGTAAAAACTAAGGAAATCTGGTTAAAGTACGGACTTTCCAAAAACCAAAACCCACTACCATCGAGTCAATTCTGACTCAGCAACCCTATTGGACAGAGTAGAACCAGCCCATAGGGTTTCCAAGACTGTAATCTTTAACTTGTCTGTCAGTTTGTCGTATTGTAGTAGCTTATATGTTGCTGTGATGCTGGAAGCTATCCCACTGTATTTCAAATACCATCAGAGTTATCCATGGTGGGCAGGTTTCAATGGAGCTTCTAGACCAAGACAGAGTAGAAATATAGATATGGCCAGGTCCACTTCTGAAAAAAAAATGGGCACAGAAAACCTTATGAATAGCAGAGAAACATTGTCTGATATATAGTGCCAGAAAATGAGCCCCTCAGGTTGGAAAGGCACTCAGAATATGACTAGGGAAGAGCTCCTCCTCAGAGTAGAGTCAAACTTCCTGGCATGGATCAAGTAAAGTTTTCAGGACCTTCATTTTTTGTGACATGATTCAGAATGAGAAGAAACAGCTGTAAACATCCATTAATAATAAGAATGTGGAATGTGCAAAGTAGGAATTAAGGAAAACTGGAAGACCTCAAAAATAAACTGAAATGCGTAAAGATCAACATCCTACACGTTGTTGTTGTTGTTGTTGTTGTTGTTGTTAGGTGCCATCGTGTCATCTTTGACTCATAGCAACCCTATGCACAGCAGAACGAAACACTGCCTGGTCCTGTGCCACCCTCATGATCCTTGTTATACCTGAGCCTATCGTTGCAGCCACTGTATCAATCCATTTCATTGAGGACCTTCCCCTTCTTCGTTGACCCTCCACTTTACCAAGCATGATATCCTTCTCTAGGGAATGGTCCCTTCTGACAACATGACTGAAGTAGGTGAGACAAAGTCTGGCCATTCTCGCTTCCAAGGAGCATTCCAGTTGCACTTCTTCCAGGACAGATTTGTTAGTCCTTTTAGCAGACCATTGTACTCTTAGCATTCTTCTCCAACACCACAACTCAAAATCATCAACTCTTCTTCAGTCTTCCTTATTCATTGTCCAGCTCTCACATGCATGTGAGAAGCCTAATGGAATGACAAAACTGACCATCATATTGAAAATATGATGGCTGGGGTTAGGACCACCTTAGTCTTCAAGGAGATATCTTTGCTCTTCATCACTTGAAAGAAGTCTTTTGCAGCAGATTTCCCCAATGCAATATGTTGTCTGATGTCTTGACTGCTGCTTCCATTGGTGTTGATTGTAGAATCAAGTGATATGAAGCCCTTGACAACTTCAGTCTTTTCTCAAGTTGTGTCATCTGTGTATCTCAGGTTGTCAGTGAGTCTTCCTCCAATCCCGATGCCATGTTTTCTTCATATAGTCCAGCTTCTTGGATTATTTGCTCAGCCTACAAGTTAAATAAGTATGGTATGGTGAAAGAATACAGTCTTAACACACTCCCTTGTTGATTTGGAACATGCAGTATCCCCTTGTTCTGTTTGAATGACAGCCTCCTGATCTATATACAGGTTCCCCATGAATACAATCTAGTAGTCTGAAATTCCCATTCTTCTCAATATTATCCATAATTTGTTATGATCCACACAATTGAATGCTTTTGCATAGTCAGTAAAACACAAGTAAACATCAGTATATTACTGATCAGTATATTACTGATCCTATGTATTAGTGAGCTGAAATGGACTGACATTGGCCATTTTGAATCAGGTGAACATGTCATCTACTATGGCAGGAATGATAAATTGAAGAGGAATGGTGTCACATTCATCATCAAAAAGAACATTTCAAGGTCTATCCTGAAGCACAGTGCTGGCCATGATAGGATAATATCTATACACCTACAAGGAAGACCAGTTAATAACTACTGTTATTCAAATATACACACCAACCAGTAAAGCCAAAGATGGAGAAATTGAAGATTGTTACCAACTTCAGTCTGAAATTGACCAAATATGCATTGAAGACGCATTGATAATTACTTGTGATTGGAACAAAAAAAGAACATGGCATCAGGACTGAAGGAAGTCTAATTAATAACCTGTGATATGCAGATGACACAATCTTGCTCACTGAAAGTGAAGAAGGCTTGAAGCACTTATTGATGAAGATCAAAGACTATAGCCTTCATTATGTTGTTTTGTTTTGTTTTGTTTTTTCAAGTTTTATTGTGATTTGGGTGAAAATTTTCAGAGCAAATTCATTTTCCATACAACAGTTCATACACATTTTGTTTCATGACACTGGCTGCAATTACCTACAATGTAACAGCTCTCTTCTCACTTCCTCCCAGTAGGTATCTCTTCCCTGAGTTCTTCCCTCTTATATACTCCCGCCACCCCACCCTGAGCTGTCTCCCTGTGCAAATACTGCCCTTCTGTTCTCCCACAATTGATCGCTCCAAGGAGTATATCTACTTGATGTAAATGTTCAGCCCATATACCTGTCTGTTGTTTGGCTGGAAGCCACAGGAGTGAGTTTAGTTCTAGACCTAAAGGGTACTAATTAAGGGCCATAGTGTCAGGGGTCTCACCAGGCTCTCAGACCAGGAAACCTGGTCTTTTTTTTTTTTTTTATGATTTTTGAGTTTTATTCCACATTGTTCTCCCACTCTATCCAGGATCTCCTGCACTGATCCCCTTCCAAGTGGTTGACAGTGGTAGCCATGCACCATCTAGTTTTTCTGGTCTCATGGTCATATAGGCTGAGGATCACATGGTCTACTAGTCCGTTGGACTAATTATTTCCATGTGTGTTTGGTTTTCTTCATTCTGCTTTGCTCTGGATGAAGAGAGACCCATTGTTACATCTAGATGGCCATTTGCAAGCTTTTAAAATCCCAGTCACTACTCACCAAAGTAGGATGTAGAACAATGTTTTTGTGTGGTATATTATGCCAGTTGAGCTTGATGTCCTCTGTGACCACATAGCCCCAAGCCCACAGGTCCACCTACTTACTCCTTCAGGGTAGCTGGCTGTGGCCAAGAAGTCAGCACAACCTTGTCCCTTGTCACCTGTATACACCTGGACATTCTTACAGCACATATAAACATACTGCCTTCAGTATGTATTACACCTTAACATAAAGAAAACGAAAATCCTCACAACTAGACCAATAAGCCACATCATGATAAATGGAAAGAAGAATGAAGTTGTCAAGGATTTCATTTTACTTGGATCTACAATCAATTTCCGTGAAAGCAGCAGCCAAGAAATCAAATAATATATTGCATTGGACAGATCTGCTGCAAAAGACCTCTTTAAAGTGTTAAAGCAAAGATGTCAGTTTGCAGACTAAGGTGTGGCTGACCCAAGCCATTGTCTTTTCATAGCTTTGTATCCATGTGAAAGCTGGACAATGAATAAAGAAGACAGCAGAAGAATTGATACATTTGAATTATGGTGCTGGCGAAGAATATTAAATATACCATGGACTGCCAGAAGAAGAAACAAGTCTATCTTGAAAGAAGTACAGCCAGAATGTACCTTGGAAGGGAGAATGGTGAGACTTTGTCTCACATACTTTGGATATGTTATCAGGAGGGACCAGTCCGTGGGTCAGTGAAAAAGAGGAAGTCCCTCAACAAGATGGAACACATTGTCTACAGTAATGGGCTCAAGCATAGCAGCAATTTTGAGAATGGTGCAGGACCAGGCCTTGTTTAGTTTTATTGTACACAGGGTTGCTATTAGTCTAAACCGCCTTGATGGCACCTAACAACGACGACAATCTTTACAGAAGCAGACTACCTTATCTTTCTCCCATGGAGCTGCTGGTGGGCCCAAACTGCCAATGTTTTGGTTAACAGCCAAGCACTTACCCTGAGCCAGCAGGGCTCCTTTGCAACCCCTTCTTGGGTTTCTGAGGTGGTATCTCTACAGAAGTAGATTGTCCAATCTTCCTTCTGAGGAGTGGCTGGTGGGTTTGCTTAGCAGTCAAATGCCTTAGGCACTATGCCACCAGAGCTGCCTGTATAGCCTTTAGTTAACAATAATGTATCAAATATTAGTGACATCAATGTATCATTTACTGTAATGAATGTACCTCATTAATCTAGAAGTTAATAGTAGGGAAAACTGGGTGTAAGGTATATGGTAATTTATTTATGTACTATCTTATCAGTTTTTCTGTAAATATAAAACAGTTCTTGAAAATGGAGTCTATTCCATGCAATCCTCAACCTATATGACCATGAGACCAGAAGAACTAGATGGTGCCTGGCTACCACTGTCAACCACTGGGAGGGGGATCTGTGTAGGAGATCCTGGATAGAGTGGGAGAACAACGTAGAACAAAACCCTGAATTATATTTTTAAAAAAGACCAGATTTACTGGTCTGATAGAGCCTTGTGAAACCTCTGAGATTGTGGCCCCTAGTTGCCCTTCAGGTCTGGAATAGAACTCATTCCTGTGGCTTCCAGCCAAACAAAAGACAGGAATAAGGGCTGAACATTTACATTAGGTAGATACACTCCTTGGAGAGATCAATCATGAAAGAACGGAAGGGCTGTATATGCACAGGGAGACCACTCGGGACAGGAGTGCATGGGAAGGAAGAACACAGGGTAGAGGTAACTATGGGAAGAGAGCTGTTACATTGTGGGGAATTGCAGTCAATGTGATGAGACAAAATGTATATGAACTACCATGTGGAAAAATGAATTTGCTCTGTAAACTTTCACCCAAATCACAATAAACATTTTTTAAAAAGACAGCTAAGCCCTTAGCCACTGCACCACCAGGCCTCTTTCAGTATTCTCTGCTGACCTGTATTTCAGTGGGTTTTTACCACCTGGCTTTAAAATCCTGGGCAGGTACTGAGGGAATAAATAAAGACTTACTCAGACTCAGTAATATAAATATAAAATTCTAAGTAACATTAAAAAGCATATTCTAGTCCAGACCAGAAGGCTGGTGGTTCAAACCCACCAGCCACTCCTCAGAAGGAAGGTTGAGCAATCCTACTTCCGTAGTGATACTGCCTCGGAAACCCAAGGAGGGGTCGCTATGAGTCGGGGGTTGACTCGACGGCACATAACAACAACAACAGTCCAGATGGAACATTGAAGCAAAAGCAGCTGTTTGTTTGGACAGATTTTTTATGTGTTGGTATATAGATAACACCTATTTTCATGGCCCTTAGTTCCATTTGGAATTCAAGATTATATTAGAAATACTTTGTGTTTTAATTACTTTATAATAATGTTTAGTGTTTTGATATAATAAGTATTTTTCAAAATTCCTTTTTGCAGATGACGATTCTGATACAGAGATATCAAATGACTTGCCAAAATTTACAGATGGAATCAAGGCCAGAAACAGAAATCAGAACTACCTGGTTCCCAGTCCTGTACTTAGAATTCTAGACCACACTGCCTTTTCTACAGGTTAGGGCAACTAATCAATAGTATTTACATGTTTTTGAATAAATCGATGAAAAAACAGTATATTAAAAAATACTTTTGCCAGTTGTACTTGTTTTAATAATAGATTCTATTATAGTAATATAATAATAGGCTTATTTTATTTTTCAGAAAAATCTGCTGAGATTGAAATTTATGATGAAGAATGTGACTCACCTGAATCAGTCAACCAGCAACCGCAAGAGGAGAGTCCTATAGAAGTCCACACTGCCGAAGATGTTCCAATTGCTGCAGAGGTGCATGCAATTTCTGAGGATTATGATATAGAGACAGAAAATAACTCCTCTGAGAGTCTCCAAGACCAAACTGATGAAGAGCCAGCAGCTAAGCTCTGTAAAATTCTTGACAGGAGCCAGGCTTTGAATGTGACTGCCCAGCAGAAATGGCCTTTACTGAGAGCTAATAGCAGTGGCCTCTATAAATGTGAACTTTGTGAGTTCAACAGCAAATATTTTTCTGATTTGAAGCAGCATATGATCCTGAAGCATAAGCGTACTGATTCAAATGTATGTCGAGTATGCAAAGAAAGTTTCTCTACCAACATGCTTCTGATTGAACATGCCAAACTACATGAGGAGGACCCCTACATTTGTAAATACTGTGATTATAAAACAGTAATTTTTGAGACCCTCAGCCAGCACATTGCAGACACTCATTTCAGTGATCACCTTTATTGGTGTGAGCAGTGTGATGTACAGTTCTCCTCAAGCAGTGAACTCTACTTACATTTCCAGGAACATAGCTGTGATGAACAGTACTTGTGTCAGTTCTGTGAACATGAAACAAATGATCCAGAAGATTTGCACAGCCATGTGGTAAATGAGCATGCATGTAAATTAATAGAGTTAAGTGATAAATATAACAATGGAGAACATGGCCAATACAGCCTCTTAAGCAAAATTACCTTTGACAAATGTAAAAACTTCTTTGTATGTCAAGTATGTGGTTTTCGGAGTAGGCTTCATACAAATGTTAACAGGCATGTTGCAATTGAACATACTAAAATTTTTCCTCATGTTTGTGATGACTGTGGGAAAGGCTTTTCAAGTATGCTAGAATATTGCAAACATTTAAATTCACATTTATCTGAGGGGATTTATTTATGTCAATATTGTGAGTATTCAACAGGACAAATTGAAGATCTTAAAATTCATCTAGATTTCAAGCATTCAGCTGACTTACCTCATAAATGTAGTGAGTGCTTGATGAGGTTTGGAAATGAAAGGGAATTAATAAGTCACCTCCCAGTTCATGAGACAACTTGATTGTCCTTTTTATTTTAGCTTAGATAATGACAATGTGGAATAAATTCAGCTTTTTTTTTGAGATGTCAAAATAGATGATTTTAAAGATAAGAGAATTACCTGTAACAAGTAACTTTTTTAGTTGCCCAATTTTCTTGGCATTGCTACATTTTCAGTATATAATTGTATCTTAAATGTAATATTTTCAATTACATGGTAGTTGGTTGTTTTCACCCCTCTTGGTGACTGTCTTCCTATTGTATGTGCTCTGATTTCATGAATTGGTAAGAAACAGATGTATTGAAGAAAGTAGACTACAGTTTTCCTTCCATAACCATAGGTGCTACTCACTTTTGAGGGTGTTTTCTTCAGTGATAAATCACTTCACGCATGAAATCATTAAAGTACTGCACTATTGGAACTGAAAATGCAACATAGTATACATGAAATCCACTGATAATTCCATTAATAAGAGCCCAATTCCTCCTTTTGTATTCTCCACCATTAATTATCACCAAGGTAATCAGTGGCCTCTCTGTGTGATTCTTATAATAACAGTAGGAGGCCAGTGTTATTGTAGGAAGAAAAGATTGCATTTTCTTGGCAGTCAATTTTTTTTGGCTTATCTCTGTGTTTAGTAATTTAAAATAGCCAGGGGTTTGAGGGAGAAGGAAGCGAAATAACTGGTAAGGGATCAGGCAGTAAAAATGTAACCATTTCATAACCCATTCATAACCTGTTAACATTTCATTTTCAGTATTAAACAACTGCAAAGTTAAGCCCAAACTTCTGATGTCAAATCAAATAATCTATTCATTGAGAAAATCCACTTAAGTATTAGAGTTAAAAAGATCTTGATGATAAACGGTTGCTAGTATGACAATGTATAAATTGCTTTTGATAATGGTAAATTGGTTTCACATCTGAAATAGTATCAAAAAGATGGTATATCATTGACCTGAAATTTAACAAGCATTTCTATTAATAATACTACTGTCCAGGTGTATTGATACAATTGAAAAGGCCAATGATGTGACCTATAGCTGTTTTACTTCAAGAACATGAGATTTTCATCTATTTAGAGAATGGTAGCTGCAACAGTTGTTCTCAAAACCCATCGTATTTATTTCTATGAGTAATTTTGTCATATATGTATACCTGTGCAAATGATTAACAAGCTTTGCTGCTAACTGAAAATTTGGAAGTTCAAGTCCACCCAGAGGTTACTTAGAAGAAAGGCCTGGTGATCAACTTCTGAAAAATCAACTATTAAAAACTCTGTGGAACACACTGGACTCTTTCACGCATGGGGTCTCCATGGCTTGAAATCTATTCCATAGCAACTGAATTTTTTTAACTGGTGTTCCTAGAAACTACCATTCTGTCTGATCATAACATTCCAGGTAGAGCTTTCTGGTATAAATGTCTGGTAAATATTTCTCAAATTAGAAGAGAACCATAAAAACTATCTGGCCCAAACCCTGTGGCGTTTTTTTGTTTGTTTTGTTTTTTAGGTCAAACCATTTTTTATTGAGGAGTTTCTGGAGGTCTGAGGGATAGGGACAATGAGGTCCAACAATCGCCATCCAGCTGGGATCTTCTGGAACTGCAGCCACCAAAAGTCAAGCCCTGTGGTTTTATAAATTTCTTACAAGAAATAGAAACTTAGCTTGTTGTTAGCCCAAGGTCACATAACCAGTTAAAGCAGACAGGAGTGGAATTCAAGTTACTTGGTTTCCATTCTACATAATGTTTCCATGACACCATGTTCTATAAAGCTAAGTGTTGTCCTTGAGGTGTTTTGCATGACCACTTCACTTAGCCATTCAGCTAGCTTCTTGGTGATTGTGTTTTTATCCTTTTTCTACACACATCAGCTCAAGGAATTTGATTTTTAGAAAACAACCTTAAACACCTTGTTATTTTTTAATTCTGTGTTTTACACCTTTATCAGATGTTGATGATCAAATCAAAGAGATTAAGTGATGCAACTCAAGAGACATAAATCCAAGTTTTGGAATCATGATTTTGTAATTTTGTACTTTTTGATGAGTTTGCAATTTGAGGCCACATCCCACTGATGGTTTGTCCAATAAAAACTTTTTGTTTTCACTTAGTTTTCAAATAGGTCTATAATTGACCATAAATTAACAAACCTACATTAAACCAACCCACCTAGAAGGATACTTTTAAGTACTAATGGATTTTTTTTCCCTTCGAAGACATTTCCACTGTACCCTTTTGTAACTTGAATCACAATTCAAGTCAGAATATATAATTGATGGTGATGTTTATTAGCACAAGAGAATTCTTGGCAGCAGTGAACAGTAGGGACGGGTCCTAATTGTTTTCTTGCTTTTTTATCTTCACCTTGCATTGAGTTGTTTTCAAAATTCCAAAGCACTTCCCCTGTACTCTAGAATTTTAAAATGTTTGTTCCACTGCTCAAAGTTTTCCTCTTCCTGCTTATAAATCTGCCAGTTCTACCATTTAAAATCATCTTTCCATAATCTTAGATTTGTCTGAGTGTATATCATCACATATTAATCATTTTCTCGGTTTCACAGGGTCTGTACCTGTTACATGATTGCAGGTGGGCAATTTAAAACTAGACGTTAACATTATTTCTTATATTTGAACCTGATTTACAAAGCATTGAATAACTTAATTCTTGCCACTTTACAATTAATCTTGTTTTGTTTTACTACTTTTTGCAAAAAGCTTAATCTATTTCTCAAACTACTATGAATATTTTTAATAGCATTTTCATACCTAAACAACACTATAAGCTACATAGATTTGAAAAGGCTAATAAAGACAACTGGCCACAACCTTTTTAGGAAGTAGACTGGCTTATTTTTTAAAAATCGGTATTAAGAATTTAACTGAAAATAGTTAAGACTGTTAATCCCAATGGAGAAGCAAATTCAGTTAGGTTTATCCTGCAATTAACACTCATTCATCCCTCAAAAAAACAAAAAGACCAAACTCATTGCTGTCAAGTTGAATCCAACTCATAGCAACCCCTCCTTGGGTTTCCGAGGCAGTATCTTTATGGAAGTAGATTGCCCAACCTTTCGTCCAAGGAGTGGCTGGTGGGTTTGAAGTCAAATAAATACCTTAGGCACTACACCACCAGAGCACCCTATAACTTCTGACCTCAATTCTAATGAGTGGAGATGCAGAGCATCACAAGAGAGAATTCACCTTTATTTATTACATTGTGTTTATGAATTTGTACCTTGCATTGATTAAGGCTGCCTCTAAATCAATCTTTTAAGACATCAAATCTAAGGGAAAGATCTATATTTATAATGTACAATATAAATTCAAAGCTAAAAATTGTTACATGTGATTTACATAAATTATTTATATGTTTGTAAGTTTTAAAACTAAGATTTGAAGAGCCTATCGGGCTACATCACACTGTTGTTGTTAGGTGCTATCAAGTAGTCTCCGACTCATAGTGACCTTGTGTACAACAGAATGAAATACTGCCCAGTCCTGTGCCAGCCTCATGATCCCCGCTATACCTGAGCCCATTGTTGCAGCCACTGTGCCAATCCATCTTGTTGAGGGCCTTCCCCTTTTTCAGTGACCTTCTACTTTACCTAGCATGACATCTTTCTCCAGAGAACGGTTCCTTCTCCCAACATGACAAAAGTAGGTGAGACAAAGTCTGGCCGTTCTCGCTTCCAAGGAGCATTCCGGCTGCACTTCTTCCAAGACAGATCTGTTAGTTCTTTTAGCAGTCCATGGTACTTCCAGTATTCTTCACCAGCACCACAACTCAAATGCATCAACTTTTCTTTGGTTTTCCTTATTCATTGTCCAGCTCTCATGCATATGAGGCAATTGAAGATATACCATGGGTTGGGTTAGACACATCACACTAGTGATGTGAAAAATAATTTCTTGATAAAAGCTTTCCTTATGAAAATCACCAGAACTTCCTTACTTATCTTCATTATTCTTAGTAACTTTGTTAAACTGATAATTACCTGAACCCAAAATAAATCACATTAGTGAAAACTGATTTCTTCATTATAAAAAATAATTTTCTTACATTGTTAATAAGAATATTGTATAATATACTAATTTTATTATAGTACTTTAAAAATTGTGACTATGTCAACTTAGTTTTCAAAGAAAAATTGTTACCACAGAGTTAGTTATTTAGTTTGTTGTTTGTTTTTAAGTAGACAAATGAGTCTTTAATAGTCTTTTTTTTTTTTTTACTTAAGATATTGGGCTGAATAATTAAATTATATCTTGAAAATGTAATGAAAAGCACATGTTTTGAGAACCCAAAGTTTTCTAGTCTTCAATATCTTAGATGGAATCCACTGCTTAAGAACATTACATTTGAAATAATTGGTACTCTTGCCTTTATTTTCAGAATAAACTAAAATCAGCAACTGGAATCATATCTATGAGATGTTTAT